TTGATTTACAAGTGTGAAATCGATGAACATCTTATGTGAATAGTGCGAAGTATTTACAAATTGCATCCATAGCCATTGAGAATTCAAATAGGTGTCTACTCGCCATTACTGTGGAGTATCAAAGATGTTGAGGTGCTTGACAAGAGAAGAGGAGGTGAAAGGATACGCTTGGGACGGAAATAAGCGAAAGTGAAGGCTTAACAGAAGGGGAACATCTAATGGAAAGGTTTTTCCGTTAAAACACAAGCTATAATATAAGTTAAAAAGTACAAAACCCATACACAATGTACAATGACCTTATGCAGCAAGAGACACCAACACATTTTGTATGACCGTTATACCCTTAACAATATTCACTCTTATAAGATTGTAGAGATGTAGAGATTTGAGTTTGATAGTAGGGAGGACTTAAAGAAGAAGTTGAGAGAAGTTGCTATGAATGGGAATTTTGAAACCACAACGGTGAAAAGTGACAGATTGAAATATGTACTAAAATGCAAATGATATAATTGTAAGTGGAAGTTGCGAGCAACAGTGATAAAAAAACTCTCAAAGGTTCACCATTAGAAAGTATATCAAGAAGCACAATTGTTCAGTTGGTGGCCGCATCCGCACACACAATCAAACAACTTCAATATAAGTTGGAGAAACAATGTAGTCAGATCTTGGATGTTCAGAGGAGATCATTAGATCCAAATCTATAATGACTCTCATGCAAAATAAGGGTAGACCAATAACATACACCAAGGCTTGATTGGGGTAGAAAGTATGCATACGAAGCACTCTATGGCTCTCCAAAAAACAGTTACAAACAACCTCCTTCATATTTGCATATGTTAAAGAGTGCAAATAATGGCAAAGTTACAACACATCTTGAGGTTCAAAATGGATGCTTTAAGTATGTGTTTGTTGCATTTGATGCTTGCATTTCAGGTTTTCAAGCATTGAGGAAAGTTATTTCCATTGATGACACATTCTTGGAGACGTCATAAGGAGGTGTTTTACTCATCCCCATAGGAGAAGGTGATGACTTTCATCAATACCCTATAGCCTGGACTATTGTGGATAGTGAAAATAATAACTCTTACACCTGGTTTTTTGGGCATTTAGGAAAGCTCATTGATGATTCTTCAGAGTCGGTATTCATTTCAGATCGACACGCGAGCGTTTCTAATGGGCTTAGAACACACTATGTTGTTGCGGATCATGGACATTGTAAGTTTCATATTACACAGAATCCCAAAGCTCATGTCCATAAAGATGATGGTGCCACAAAGTTGTTTTATAAACTCGCGAATGCTTATACACAACGGTCTTTTTATAGGTTGTATAAAGAATTCAGAAGTAGGTTTGAAGGAGGTGCTAATTATATTGATGGGATTGAGAAGTGAAAATGAGCAAGAGCTTTCTTCCATGTTAACCGTTATAACATTATGACAACAAATGGGGTTGAAAGTATGAATATTGTCTTGAAGCGTGAGAGAGTTCTTCCCATTGTTGCATTGTTGAAAGGATGTACAATCAAAAGTTGCTGAGTGGCGAGGTAAGAGAGTAGCTGAGTTGAAGTCACTTGAGAACTCAACTAGCCCACTTATCGCCAAGGTAGAGGCTATCGTTCGAAAACGATACCACACGACTTTGAATTTGGAGTCATTGCAACTAGGTTTGTATGAATGTCATGTTAAGGGAATAAAGTCTGATCATGTGGTAAACTTGAGAGATAAATTAAAACATGTCCTTGTCGCATTTTTTATTTAGACAAACTTCCTTGTTTACACGCGCTAGCATGCTTCCATACAACGGATATCGACTTGTATGACATATGTGATCGTAAGTACACGCGGGACCTTATGTATGTCGCATATGCTGAAACCATATATCTTGTCACAAGAGAAGAAGAATGTGAAGCCAATGATGAAGTCGACTTGGAAATTCATCCACCTATATTTTCTATGAAGAGAGGAAGGCCTACGATGAAAAGATTTCCATTCGGGGTGCAAAAAGAAAGGACATACCTTAAGAACTTGTAAACATAAGTTGTCTACTGTCAAAATAGTAAATGACTCTACTCACGAGACACTAAATGAGTTGTAATTTAGTTTGTATTAGTTATTGTCTATTGTACTTATATTTTATGGTTTCTCTCTATTTATTATGTGCCATAATATATTGTAAGGTTTACTATTGAACCTGGTCAAACATAGTAGAACAGGGTAGAACAGTCAATTTTGTCCATTCATGGTCGAACATGGTCAAACTCAATAAAACTTTGTAGACCAATTGATAGGCCGACCCCGGTCAAACCTAGTCAAACTCGGTCAATAATGCTTGTTTGACCATAGGTCAAACTGGGTAATGTTTGGTGATAAAATATCGATAAAATTGGATGATTGGTTTATTTGATTAACCTGGATTTTAAAATTGATTATTATTTACTTAATATATCGATAAAATATGAATATTTACACTTGTGTTTGACATGTATTAAAATACTAAAAATACTAAGTGTAAAACATGTCAATACATGTCAAACACAAGTTTTACATGTATTAAGTGTAAAACATGTCAATACATATGAATAAAATATGAATATTTACACTTGTGTTTGACATGTATTAAAATACTAAAAATACTAAGTGTAAAAATATCGGAGTGTAAAATATGTCATTACTAAGTATCTCACCGATATCGGAGTTACAAAATCTGTATAACATAATGTTGGAGTCATCTCTTGATGCATAATCTTATCCATCTTCTTTTTTAAATTCTTCTTCAACTGCTTATGAGACTCCATAAATGCCCATGTACCCCGTGGGAAGTCTAGATAGTAGCTACCAACTTGTGCAATGATCCAATCAGGAGTGAAATTGTTTCTCTTGACAGGGACTAAAAGAACCATCACTATAAACACAAGTGATGTCATTCTCTATTTTTCTATCATGATGATTTAAATGATTACAAAGTTGGTGAAAATGATTTAAAATCGTTTTAATTATAACTAACTTTAGCTTTACTTCCAGCACGTTTCGCTTTTTAAAATATAATTACTCATTAAAGGCATTTGTTAAAAATATTATTTATAGTATAATAAAACAACTAGTATCGCATTAAAAAAAGTGCCGATCAAATGCATTAACAGTCGTATTAGAAGTTTTGATTTGAATATTACTAAAAATGGACAATTAACAAAAAAGTGAATTTTTTAATTTAAAAAATGTGACTACCATCACTATTATATCCCCGCACTCACACTTACATATACAATGACTCCGACCGCAGTGACATGATGACAGTGATCTGGTCACAGTGACACAACGACGACTCTGGCCATAGCGACATGACGATGGCGACTATGACCACAATGACATTGCGATTTCGGTCACAGTGACACGGTGACTCCGGCCAGAATGACTTCGACGTGACCAGTCATGCCTCCCTTCCACCGGCCCCACTCCCACAACACCCCTCCACAAGTCCTACCCCAACCCCACCAGCCAAACTCCAGCCCCACAAGCCCATGACCCAACCTCATAGCACCCTCCCCCAACCCCGTCCCAACAACGATGCAACCCAGTCCCCACCCAACAATGCCACACCACAACCCCTCAAGCCATGCCCTACTATCCAGTCTCGCCATAGCCACCTCCGATTCCATACCCCTACCCCATCTGAGTCACCCAGTTTGACACCGCCTCACTAACCCACAGTAGATCTGTGCCGCCGCACAAACTCAGATCTTAAAATAAGAATGATAACAACCCAAATTCGTTCTGGAATCCTGAGTGTGTGACAAAGGTCTGAGCTACAATGGTGATGTGGCAGTGATTTGCGGTCAAGAAAGGAGAAGAAGAAAGAAGGACCAGTCACTTGTTGGTCGTCGCTGACATGAAGAAGGTCGACAAACCTAGACCTAGGGATGACAAGATGTATCATAGAGGCAAGGAGACGCGTAGAGAGGTAGACCGATGGCTTGAGGCGACGGAGAGGATGGTGCCATGATCGTGCAAAGAGAGAAGGCGCCTCCGACCCTGTGCAGAGAGGAAGGAAGATCGACGTGGCGCAATTGCCGGTGGCTTATGTCAACAGAGAGGATGGCGCCATGGCCGTGCGAAGAGAGACGACACCATGGCTATGCGAAGAGAGAAGGCGCCTCCGACACTATGAAGGAAGATCGAGGATTTGAGCAGGGGAGAAGGAAATGTATTTAAAATGATCACATTTTTGTGGAAACATAAAAGGTCATATTTTTGTCCATACACACTTCATAAGTAATATTTTTGTTATTCTTTTTACTGAAATGCAAAAAAATTGGTTATATGGTTGATTCTGCTGAAATTTATGAATTTCTGGCTGAAGTGGCTGGATTAGTTGATTCAGCTGATTTATGAAAAATTATATTTAAACATATATATTTTATTAATAAAATAAAGAGAAAAAATATATGAGAAAAACAGTTAAAAGGACCCTTAACTTTAGTCAATACAACTAGCAAAATAATTCACCCTAAACTTACTTTTTCTTATTAATACATAATTCAATGCGCGAAATTAATACACACACTTAAGCAGAAAAACATACTCTACTGCCCATAAAACACCTACAGAAAACCCAAATCAGGCAAATACAAATATACAAGCTTAACGAGGAGAAAAATATAATCACCAAACAAACTTTAGATTGATAAATGAAAAAGCAATTTATGTATAAAGGGTTGTAAAATGTAAATTTGATTTACGGAGAGAATGCAGTTGCGGATAGTGACAAAGGGGGAGAGGCGCAAATACAATAAAAAAGGACATGAGAAAGTGAAGGCAGGTGACCCAAGATGTTGTTGATGCCGAAACACTACATGATACAAAACAAAGCTCATGATGCATGTCTCCCATCCACTAAAGGAACCCCACATACCATTCCATGCATTCTCGCCTTCCGTTTATGCCCACTCTTGATTATTCCATTATTCCATCTATATCTCTTGGCTTTAAGCATTGTACTCATGTTTATTATATTCTTTTTCAAATCTAATTATGCATCACCATCATACTCAAGGATGTCCCCGATTTGGATTCCGGAGGATTTTAATGGAGTTTATAAATCTATCAGAATTCAGGTGTTCCTGATTTGGATTTCTGTGGGGTCCTGGATTTCTGTGGGGTCCATGAAAGGGTGTCCTCAAACATTCTATGGATTTCTATTGCTACTTATTTGGATGAATTTTAATGGATTTTGATGGATTTCTATATACAAAAATATTCCACCACAAATCTTGTAGAATCCTTCAGATTCCAATTGCATGTCCAGCTCCATTGATTTGCTTGACAAATGTTCACTTTCCAGTGCAAACTTATAGTGCCATAACAGTAAGCCCAGGTTTGCATCTCAAAAACAGACACTAACTTTAGGAGTAGTTGTATAGGCTTAAAAAAGTCCAAAGGCTTTTGATCGCCACTTAGATGCCAAGACAATGAGGCATGCCTGTAGTGTGCCATTGTATGCTTTAATTACCATGTTTGAGTATAGTCTGATCTTGTATTGTGTTAGTAAGCTAGCACATGTTGCATCTAAGAAATAGTCAAGTTTTTTACTATATTTGATTGGAAATCGCCTATATTGATATTACTAGAATCATGATCAGTACACCATACTCTACAAAATCGATAGCTACTACGACTATCCACCAATCACAACTAGTAATCCTACGATTAATTATACATAGAGACGACCACCCCAAAAAAGCAACATGAATTGCTAATCACCAAACCGGTTGTCATATACTACGACTTAGGATTGGATATGGCTATCAGAATGAGCAAGCTAAGACAACTCGGCTGCAGGGAGATAGGAGCGATGTCGTGCTTTGGAGAAGATTGGGCAATGAGAAGGGGCAGGCTCTATGTATCAGACTCGCTTTGGTGTTTGATTGTCTCAGGTTCTGACGTGTAAACCAGACTTAGGTTTTTATTTTGAATGCTGCCTTTTTTATTTATTTAGTAGTTCTCTTTTTAATCTAAATTTGAGTCGTTATGTTTGTTTTGTGTACACTCTAAGATTGAGACATTTGAGTGTTTTTTATGGGATAGTTCGGTGGAGTCGAGTTCGAGGAAATTTGATAGGCAGTGCTGCCAATTCGGTCACTTTAAAGTTTAAACTTATGTTTGCACGTATTTTTGTGCATGGTGAATGAAGTTACCTTTTATGAGTGATTGACTCTAGTGGATGAGCTGGGGAGGGGCATGGGGGCAAGTGCCCCGCTTCTGGCAAAGAAAATTAGTACTACTACTTACGGAGTTACGGAGTTACGGAGTTACGGAGTATAATATACTCCCTCCGTTTCACAATCTTTGACACATTTTCCCTTTTTGGCTGTTTCACAATCAATGAGACACTTCCTTATTTCCTTATTTGGTAAACAAATCTTTACCAAAACAGTGTCAAACAGTGCCAAACAGTGTTCAAACAGTGCCAAACGGTGTTCAAACAGTGCCAAACAGTGTTCAAACAGTGCCAAACAGTGTACTCTACAGTAAAATTTACCCCTCAGTAACATTTTTTCCTTAATTTTTGACAAGTCAAACTGTGTCAAAAATTGTGAAACGGGGGGAGTATTTAGTGCCCCTCCTATTTTCAAAAATAAATACCACTTAAAGATAATTTTAGATTAAGTGTTTAAATAAAAAGCAAAGTCTTTCATTAAATGTGCGTGTCTCTTGAAATACAAATATTGGCTGCAACATATCACACTCATTTGAATGAAAGTATGGATTATTTTATACCTTTAATGACACATGAATTGGCTTTTCGTGGTTATATATATATTGAACAAGAAAGTATTGAGTTTCACCGATATTATTTAGGAAGTTTCACAAATCGTTTTAGAAAGCAAGCTAAATTGGGTCATACCTTGAGGGAGGGAAATTGGGCTGCTCACTTCCTTGCTGCGGCCTAGGTTGATCAGATCCGGGTTTTTCATACTCCAAAGCAGCTGCCAGCATGTGCTAAACGGGGTTACTGGACGGATTTCTTTGAGCTTCCATCTTTTAGATTTTAATACTTATTGTTTTTTATTTTCGGGTTGTCTTTCTTTGGATGCACTTTGTAAAGCTCTATCTATTAATAATAATTTGGTAATTTCTCCCCGGCATTTACCCCACCGATTTTGGTGGTTTGCCTTCCGGTGTAAAAAAAGACGAATATGTTGTTACATTTCTTGCAACAAAAAGATCTAAACATTTTCGAGACTGTGTTGGATTCCCTCCTTAGTGAAAAAATTCATGAGAATTTTAGAATTTTCAGAGATGTCTAGGATTCTATATACGTTTGTAGAGAAGTATTGAATGTTCTAAAATAATAATGTGGAGTTTTCTAGAAAAGTCCGGAACTCACTAAAATCGCGTGGAAGTGTGTGAAAGCCTCAAACATTTTGAAGAATTGTGGAGTTCTCTAAATTGAGGAGTTCTCTAACCTTGGGGAGAGCTCTCGAGTGAGTGAAAGTGAGAGTCTCCTTCATAGAGGAGAGTGAGAGCCTTCTTGTGATCAAGAGAAGAAGACTCAAAGATATCGCTTGATGAAATGTATGTGATTGAGTTAGGTAGAGTGAAGTAGTTTCAGATACAAAGAGTGAGTGAGCGTAATACAAAGTGAGATATCGTCAAATTGAGTCTTTGTATTATGAGTGTGTGGATAAGTGTGCAGGAGTCTATGAGCTCGTGATCCTGGAAAAGGATGGAAGATTTGACTCTATTTGACATACTCTATGTCATCTATTCTTAAAGTTTACGATCGAGTCAATCATAATTGTTTCGATATTCTTTTTGTATGTTTTTATTTTCCTAATATAAAAGCTTTTACCACAAAAAGTGAGAAAAAATGTTGGTAAAAAATTGATCTTACCTAATCGGCATGTAAGTCATTGAAGTGATATTTTTAACAAAATTTCAGTGTTTCTGCAGACTATGGGTATGTTTGGCACAACTAGCTTAAAAGATACTTTTGTGAGGTTTTTAATCACTGCTAGCTTTTAGTGACTGAAAAGATCTTAAAGAGAAAAGGTGGTAGCTGTTTGGTAAAAAGCTGAATGTTTGATTTAGTTCGGTTTGGTATACAAGCTGTTAGGACTGATTAATACTAAAAGTCACAGGTTTTTTCAGATGCTACTCCCTGTAGCATCTCAAAAAGGATCTTTTAATTTTTGAAAAGCTCTTAAAAATTGTCATGTCAAACGTATAACTAGAAACTTTTAGAGACTTTTTAAACAGTACAAAAGCTAGAAGGTAGAGACTTATGTCTGCCAAACATAGCCTATATTGACTACTATTAAAAGATATAGAAAAATGTCTCTTTTGGTCAACTTTAATATCTAGACAGCAAGGTCAGAACAAGTGTAAACTAATACTAGTATAACTATTACCAGGCCACAAGCATATAATCCGTAATTAATTAATTAGTTGGACGATTTTTTATCCGTGCATCATCAATAAATCATGTTGATTATGCTGAACTTTTTGCTCCTGTTGTTAAATTCAGTACGGTTAGAATGATGCTTGCTATTGTTACTCATAATGATTGGGAAATGAAGCAAATGGACGTCACAACTGCTTTCTTGCATGGTGATTTAGACAAGAAAATCTATATGACCCAGAATGAGGGCTTTGTGGATCCAATGAAGAGTGATCATGTGTTTGCTTAGGAAGGCCTTGTACGGCCTGAAGCAGTCCCCGAGGTAGTGGAATATCATATTTGACCAGTGCATGTCATCTTTGAAATTTCACAACTCCGAGTGTGACCATTGCCTATACTTTAAAAATACTTCTTTCGTGCCTATATTTTTATTGCTTTATGTGGATGACATGTTGATTGTTAGTCCTTCGGGTGACGCCATTAAATGAGTGCAAAAATGTCTCAGTGAGAATTTTGCAATGAAAGACCTAGGTGATGCCAAGAGGATCCTAGGCATTAACATTATTAAGGATAGGAGTAAACGTGTGTTAGTTCTCAATCAGATTTCATACATCGAAAAGATTTTGAGTAAATATAACATGCATTCTGCTACTCCCGTTTCTATATCCCTATGGCGTCCCACTTTGTGTTAAGTAAGGATCAGTCTCCCAAGACTGCTCATGAAATTGCTAAAATGAAATATGTGCCTTATTCCAATGCTATTGGGTCTATGATGTATCTCATGGTGAGTACTAGACCCGACATTGCCTATGCTGTTAGTTGTTTGAGTAGGTATATGTCTAACCCAGGTTTATCTCATTGGAATGCTCTTAAGTGGTTGCTTAGGTACTTGAAATCTACTGTTAATCATGGGTGGTTTTCACTAGCTATTCTGAGGGTGTTAAGTTGAGTGGGTATGTGGATTCAAATTTTGCTAACGATAGAGACAATAGGAAATCCACTACCTCTTATGTGTTTACTCTTTGCGGGTCCTGCATTAGTTGGAAGTCTCAACTTCAACCCATAGTTTCCCTATCCACTACTGAGTCCGAGTATGTGGCCGCTACCGAAGCGTTTAAGGAAGCCATTTGGTTTAAGCGTCTCCTAACGGAGATTGGTAGCCTTAATCAGGACATTTGTGTGTTTTCTGATAGTCAATCTGCTATTCAATTGTGCAAAAACCCTATTTTTCATGATAGAACTAAGCACATTGCTATTCAATTATACGTGATATTGTTAGTGCAGGTGATATCAAGTTGATTGAAATTCCATCTGAATTTAATCCTGCTGACATGGGGACTAAATGTCTCTCTGTCGAAAAACTGTTGTCATGCAAACACACGTTAAACATTGATTGCAGATAAGTTGTCAGGTGATCTTACCCATTTTGCCTGAATGTGTCTTTGTGATCATTCGAGCAATCCAGCGATGATGAGTCTTAAATTTGTATTAGAGTTTTGACTTTACACCACTGTGATCCAATAAGATGGAGATTGTGTTGGTATCGGTCCTCTATTCCCTAAGCCCAACCCACTTTGGATGTATCCGGCCCATCATTTGTTTTACCGATCGGCTTTCTCTCTTGGTACAATTATTTCTTTCCTTCCCTGGATTGTGTGATACCTTCCTTCTTCCTGGTGCGATTTTGGGAGCACCTCTTTGTAAGGTAAGTTACCTTCTATATGCTTTCTCCTTGGCCTATTTATTCCCCTCTTCTTCTGCCGATTCAGGGTGAGGCACAGTAACCTATTCCCCTTTGAACCAGTTGGCCGAAACTCCCTTCTCTCCTCTGTGGGGTTCACCTGAAATTGTGGCCGGAATAGCTAGTCGGTTGTTCCTAGTGGTGGTTCTTCATCCTTTGTGGGTGAAATTGATGAAGCTGGAAATCGGAATTACAAATCCAACCATCAATTCTCCTAACACTCCATTAATCCACTTTTTCCTTAGACGTAGCTAGCAAAAGTCAACAATACTATACGTATTGCCCTCTATTACTCCGTAATCCGTATTCACTTCGCATATTCTATCTGAATATGATTCATAAAACACTCATGTTATTAAAACAGTTTACTTTTCTGAAAAATGTTGCAAATAATTATAAGCAGAAAATCACATTTTGATTCATGAAATTAGAAAGTCAAAGATCACCAACTAAAATGAAACGGAGGTAGCTTGAAAGAATAATATTACTAGTTCTTCGTACTTTTTTTAAAAAAATCAAACAAATTTACCAATATGAAAAATACAATTGGGAGGATAACCCAACCAGATACCATCAGACACAGAACATGCTTCCCTAGTAAGACTATGGACAACCTGATTCGTTGATCGATACACATATCGTACATGTATACTGGCAAACTTTGTCATCATATGTCTAATTTCTCTAGAAATAATATCTTTATACCGTAAATCATCCACTCGGGCGATACCCTGCACTATCTGTAGAGCATCGGACTCCACAATGACATGCTGCCATCCCGACTCCAACTCCCAACTGATCACCTCTTTGATAGCCATGCTTCCATTACTTCATGCTTACTACTTCGTTCTTAAATAGTTGCAACATTAGAAGTTTTACACTATTGACATGCTCTACTTTGACTATATTTTATTTATGAATACATTAAAATTTTATTTTTGAAACACTATAATTAAATTCTTCTCACTTTAAAATTTTAAAATGTGTTTTTTAAAGCTTTACAATTAGAGAATTAAATATATCAATAGTCAAAGTTGAGCATTAACAAACATCAAAATTGAAGCGTTGCAACTAATAAAGAACGAAGGAAGTATATGGCATCACCTTTGGGCTTGTTTGAAAATCAATGGTTAACTGTTAGCTGGTTGTGTCAACAGTTAGATAATACTCCATCCGTCCCGCAAAATAGTTCTCTGTTTCCTTTTTGGGTCGTCCCAATAAATTGTTCTCAAATCCCTGTGGGAACTATTTTATGGAACGGAGGGAGTAGTTGGTTATATTATCTATTTTGATCAACTAGTTATATTAGCTTGTTGTAATTACATGTTTGGTAACTTTAGCTGTTCGAAAATGGATGTTTGGGTGCATCAGACACATAAGGACATGCAGTGGCATATCCAGGAATTTCAATCACCTGGGGCGAACCTACATTAATTATTTCACGCATCTCAGGATCATAAACAATGACCACATTAAGAAAAAGTAGTGTAAAATCATTTATAAATAACAAAATACCAATGGGAAAAATATTACGATATCATAATCAAAATTTTCATGACATGAAATTTAACTTTGCTAAAAATAAATTTTTGTCACATTTTATAATTTATTCAAAATTATGTTAACAATAAAAACCAAATAAGGAATGAATCAAATATGTATTTAGAATTAATTTAATTAAGTTGTAAATTCACAAGTATATTAAAAATCAATACTCAGTATATATACATATTATGTGTAACAATGTAATTCCTTTGTCTCACAGAGATGTTGAGTAGGGGTTGAGTGGGGGCAGCTGCCCCCTTTGCCCCCACGTTGGAAATGCCCTTGAGGACATGCCTATATTTTTTTTTTATAATACGGAGTACTAATTGTACATTTCAACTGCATAAGGAAATACCAAGTATTAATATTTCAACTGCACGTACATTTCAATAAAATAAAAATAAAACAACACTTTCATGTGTTTATGTATATACATTCACCAAATATCAGCAAAAAATCAATTGAGAATGCTGTCAAATAAATTTTTGAAGATAACTGCGTCAAAATATACACATAAAACAAAATTAGTTT